AGCAAATAAAAACTTAAAAAGGATATAGCACTGCATAATATCCCTCAAAGCAGGGATATTATCCTATTTGTTTTTGTTATTCTTCTTGCATCTTGTAAAGGTGCCTTTAATTAAGTGTCACCCAATTATATGTTGATTATTATCTCATATTTTGATATTGCTTTGCAGACTATCGAATATGCAAAGCAGGGGTCTTAGAAACCCAGATTAAAACATTTACCTTAATACATCAAGCTGTCTCTAAGAATCTACTAGAAATCTAAAGCACCATTCATAATACTAAATTTTAAACTACAGTAGTCCTATTAGCTGCCATTGGTGCTATTAAAATGTGTAATGCATAAATATCTGACTGGCGATATGCTGCCCTGGGCTACCAGAACCATTCTTTGAACAAACACAATTATAATCCATCAATTCCCTTTCCTTCTCTTATCTGAAGCTTAAGTAGTCTTCAAGGTTTTTAACTGCAGAATCAGTATACTGGTACTTGTATACAAGTATACTCTTGTTTAAAATTTTAAACACTTCAGAAGTAAACAGATTTAAAAAGTCCTATTTTCCTTCTCACCTGTACCTTCTTCCAACTTCTTTTTCTGCCCTTACATTAATGCAAGAAGACTTTGCATTGAGTCATACAGGATTTTCTTTTCTTTCCCAGGTAGAAAATGTTGCAAACACTGACCTAGACAATTCTTAAAGATCCTAACTTGAACAAGCTGCTGAATCCCCAGACGTAGAAACAATTACTTCTACTTACCAAAAAAAAAAAAAAAAAACCCTCTGAAATGTGAATTGTAATGATTTTATGCTAAGACAGTGCCAGATCAGATCTCAATAAAAAGTCATTAGCCACTTTATTGCAAAATACAATCACAGAACACAGGTAAGTAATATTAACTATGAGAACACTAGCTGAACTTCACTGAAAACTTACTAGGTACCAGACACTGATCTTAGTGTTTCATAAGACTTTCTAGAACGAAGTCCCTTTCAGTAAAAATTATATAGTGTATCTGATCATTTTGAATTTGTGTATATTGTAATTTCATTTGACACGACGCTATACAGGACTGAAAAACATGGTGACCAACATTACTTCAAATCTGAGAATACCACAACAGAGAAAGGCTGTGGAAGAGCCCATCAGAATTCAAAGATTCTCAACCATCCCAGAAATTCTCAAACTTCAATCGTTCATGTATTGCTGTCATAATTACTGTGATGTTTACACTATTACTTACTTCATGCCTTTAAATTGAGTCTCACTTTTTAAATTAAATTTAGGTTTTGTTTTTGTTTATTTATTTTTTTGTCAGTACTTGGGTTTGAACTCAGGGCCTCACGCTTGCTAGGCAGGCATTCTTCCACTTCAGTCATTCCACTCACCCCTTAAATTTAATTTTAAGTGAAGCAGGGTATCATCCCATAAATGGGAAGCCAGAATTGTTTACCATAAACACATGATAAGTATAAAAATTCAACATAACAAAGCAATCTTATTAAATTCCAGTTCAATATTGTTGCCTGATGGTATTTTTGAGAAGTCCTGCACTGTTTCTGTCAAAAAGATAAATTACAAGCATTAATGATTCCTGTAAACTAGTATCAACTAGCTTTCTTCTTTCTTTAAGCAGAATGAATGATGGACTAAATTGAGAAATGTAGTACTAATTTAGGACCAAAAGTTTAAAGTAAGAATTGAGCAGCTTCCTCACTGAGTTTTTCCCATGAGACTTAATATTGTGCCAGAGACTATCTAAACAGCTTCTCAGGACATGTCATGATTTTACATCATCATGCCAATGTCACCGCTGTGGTAGACTCTTAGAGACAGCTTGATGTCTTAGGGTACTGTTTTAATCTGGATTTCTAAAGCCTCTGATTTACATATTTGATAAACTGCAAAGAAATATCAAATATATGATATAATGATCAAAATGTATTTGGGTGACACTAAATTAAAGGCACTCTACAAATCCCAAAATGTTTTGTAAAATACCCCCAAATTATTTGGCAATTTCCTGAAGGATCTCTCTTACTCCCATTTTGGTCTCAGAATCTCAAAAGGAACCTTATTTCTCTCAAGATAAATTCCAATAAACCTATTACTCAATAGCAGACAATACCAAGTTGGTAGAAATGGAAGTTATGGTCCAGAACACTTGTTTTCAGAAAGCAAATATTAGGTAGATGAAAGCACTACTAATCTAGTATGCATAATCAAGTTCAATACATATTATCTTATTTGACCTTGAATAGGTCAGTAATTCACTCAGATATGTTTCTAATCTGCAAAAAAAAGGGAAAATACCTTTCCATAGGGCTGGTACATGGTCTAAAATGAGAGATACAGGCAATAACAAGACACTCAAAAATATGTTAGTTAGGTCAAAAGTTACCTGTCACTTTCAGTTTATTACAACTCTCAAAAAATCCAGTTGTTTTTATGTCAAGATAAAAAATTATTTTACCTCAAGAGATCAAAGTTATTTCACCTTACTGATCCTCAGGCACTATTACTCAGTTTCAAATATAAACTTGATAATTAAAACTAAAACAAAGCTCTTGGTTATGAAGACCCAAGTGCCCCGAAGAAACTATAAAAACAGAGGCAACTGGTCTCCAGTTCTTCCTTAGTACTTATGTCCCTAAACTGGAAAAAAAAATCACAGCAAATAATACTGGTATATAAATGACATTCCACATGAATGAAACCCTAATGCACTGTATAGAGACTCGAAATAAACATAGCAGCCCTTTATACACACTGAAGTAGTTACCAAATAAATAAATAAGATAGCTAAAATTACAGTGCCATCTACAGGCAAAGAAAATAATATTAATGACAGCACATTTTAGTGTTTATATATTTTCTAATATATTTTAAAGGAAACTAAATTTAGTAATTTATTTTCTGATTACATTTACAAGACACAATTTGTCTTATAAAAGAGTTAAGACAATTTTTCTATTGTTTTTTACTACCTAATAGAGCATCACTTCATTCTCAGTAGGTGTTAAAACTATGAAGGTAATTTTTTTTTTTTGGTAGGACTGGGGTTTGAACTCAGGGCTTTGTGCGTGTAAAGCAGGCGCTCTACCACTTGAGCCACGCCTCCAGTTCATTGTGCTCTGGTTGTTTTGGAGATGGAGCCTCACCAACTACTTGCCGGGGCTGGCCTTGAACCTCGATCTCCCAATCTCAGCCTACAAGTAGCTAGGATTTCAGGCGTGAGCCACTGGCACCCAGCTCAACTTTTAAAAATCAATAGTAATATCCACTTTTTGTGTTTTGAGATTTATTTATTACTAAAGTATACAATGACCAAAATGTAATTCTTTAGTATAAAAAAAAATTCAAATGCTCTTAACAGAGCAACATTTTCTTTCCTTCTCTTTCAAACTCATACCTGTAGACATTTACTTCACAATAATTAAGTCCAGGAACTTCTTACAGCTACTTGACACACACTATTGCAGGAAATCCTCACAATAATCCTGTAAAGTAAGGAACACTTGTTTTCACATCCCATTCGTACGTGTTGCAACTGAAGCCCATGAGCTTAAATAACTGCCCAATGCTATAAATAGGAGGGCTGGGGTTCAAACTGGGGGAGTTTGTCTCCAATAACCACGTTTTTAATCACTATGTCAACATGCCTCTGTCTTTAAATGCTGAACCCAGTGCCTTCCTTCTCTTGTAATACATATGTTTTGCTTTTGTTGAGCAATGTTTTCTAATGCTACTAAATCCTCCATCACTATTTTTAACAACTACATGTTTGCCATCAGTTTGGTACATCTCATTTTACTTATGGTAGTACTTAATGCTAGATTTTGAAAATGTTTTCAATTTCTTCCATTACATATATTCCATAACATAAATGCTGCAATAAGCAAAATTTTGCATTGCATATAGTTTCTTTCCTTCCTTTGAATTTTTTCTTTTGTGCTATTTTCTAAATGATTAGACTCTCTTAAGTATTTAAAAGTTCCTCATTATTAGCCAGAGGCGGTGGCTCAAACTTATAATCCTAAACACTTGGGGGGCTGAGATTGAGAGGACTGGAGGCTGAGATTGGAAGGATCATGGTTCAAGGCCAGCCTTGGCTTTTTCTCAACGAGAAAAGCTGGATGTGGTGATGTGTACCTGTCATCCCAGCTACAGCAAGAAGTATAAAATAGGTTTGGCCAGTCAGGGCAAAAAGCAAGACCCACCTAAAAAAAAAGTCAGAGAAAAAAGAACTGGAGGTACAGCTCAAGTGGTAGAGCACCTGCATAGCAAGCACAAAGTCCTGAGTTCAAACCCTAGCACCATTAAAAGTAAGAATAAATAAAAGTACCTCGTTACCAATAAGAAATGTTCCATACTGCTATGCAAAATTTTTTCTTCCTCTAGCAACATAAAATATGGAGATAATCTTATTGTCATTTATCAATTTGATATTGTCTTGATTTTCAAAAAGAATCAAGGATATATCTGCAATCACTAATAACATATACTTGGTATGGGGTGTGAGCACAGAACAGCCTGACTCTAAAATCTGTTTTAGATAATAGGAAAAAAAATAACAAAAAAGTTAGGGGATCAATGTATGTCAAGATATAAAAATTACATGAAAAATTTTATTGTAATCTTCATCAAAGAATATTTATCTCATAAAATTACCCAGGAGCAGCTATAATGAGGAGGAAAAATACTTCCCTTTTATATCGCCATGACCAACAATTTCAAAAATAGGAAAAGTTGACAATAATTAGCAAAATACTTCATCTATGTTTCTCTGCAACCATATGATTTCATTGCTACCTCGTTTCACCTACTTTTTAAGCAAGGAGCCAAAGGATATGAACATTATTTCACAATTGTTTTTTATTAAAAGTTATCTTGAAGTAGCATGTGCTCCTAATGTTTTAAAAGGATTGTAACTTTTATGACACAGACTAAAAGCCATTGAAGCATATATAATAGAAAGAACACAGACTTTGGAGCCACACAGATCTTAAATTCAGACCCTTACTTGTTATGTCCCCTGGAATTTTAAAACATCAAATTCCAACTTATCAAGATGCTGTGGAAATTAAAAAGACAAGAATTATGAAACTCATTGTAGATGCTCAAGAAATTTTAGCTGCCTTCCTTCAAGGAGTGCTATATATGTGGTTGTATCAAGAGTATCAGTTTTAAACATCATGCTTCATTATTTCTCGTAGACAAATGGTAGCATAACATGAAGCATCAAGATCAAAGGAGATCAAAAGAGATAAAGTTGTTTGATGGGTGTGAGAACCTTCCATTTCCACATTAGTGTCCCGATCACCCATCAGCTGGTATGAGAGATTGTGGGGATATTTTAGAATTGGTCTGTAGCATCCTGGTACATTCAGTTTCAGAGCAGGTACTTTAAACCTACATGTCTCTAGCCCATCTCTGCTAAATATTTCATGGTACCATTGTCCTACTTTGTTTTTCGGGTACTGAATATTGTATCCAAATACTGGTAGAACCACCTGTGAATTGGGAAGGAAAAAAAATACATGAAACAGCATTCAGAAAAACATATAATAATATTTTACTTTTATGACTGGGATAACAGTCTTAGGATATAAATACTGCAGTCAGCCTAAAACATGCTTTGAATACTATACTATGGTATTTTTAATGTTTCCAGGTAAAGAAAATAGCTAACTAAAATAAAGTACTCACAAAAGTTAAGGTAATTGACTCAAGTCAGATAACATTAGACAAACCATGATTCAAGAAGTTTAGGTATATTTAATTAGCCAATAAGCACCAAATCTCTATGAAATCATGCAATCCTAAAAGCATTTCTTTCTGTGACATGAAGACTGGCTACTGCTTAACCAAATAACTAGTATTTTGGGGGACAATTTTAAATTTCTCTGATTTGAAAACAACAAAGTAAACAGCCAACAGCAAATACACTGATTTTTCTCAGCTACTGTGAGTAAACACTGCATTTTTTTAGGGCTATCCTCCTCTGATAAAGACTTCTAGATAGTTTGCTTAAACAGTATCAAAAGGCAGTATTAAAAGGAACAAGGCAAAACACCAAAAGAACCCTCAAATATATACAATAACATGAAGGCATCTTAAATTCATTATACTAAGTGAAAGAAACCAACACAAAGGCCATATAGTAGTGCTTGGGAAACTGAGTCAGGAAGATGGTGAGTTCAAAGCCAGTCTGGGTTACAGAGTGAGACAGTCCCAAAAAAAAAAAAGCCATCTACTATGTGATTCCATTTACATATCACATTATTTCAAAGGTAAATCTATAGTGATAGGAAATAAGTCAGTGGTTCCCAGGGGCTAGAGATGGGAGAGGGGTTAATACAAAAGACATGGGGAAATTCGGGGGAGAAATGGAACTAATATTTATATTGATTTTTGCAGAGGTCATATGACTATATACATTTATCAAAACTTGTGGAAGTATAAACTAAGTGAATTTGTTTGTATATAAATTATAGCTTAATTTAAAAGCGACTTAAAAGTGAGGAATGAGTGACTATATTGTCTGTTGGGGACTATATTTATACTTACGTCTGAGAGATAGCAATTTTAAGAAAATTTACCTGGTGTATTGCATATGTATTAGCTGATTCCTCTTCTTCAGTGACCAGATGTACCTGTTTTTTAAAACAAACATGGTAAAAATATGAGCGGTTCCCAAATGTTTCTCTGTCTCTGTTGTTAGAGAAATCTCAGTTTGAGTCCTATACTGAATATGCGTATGCACTAATAAGGTGTTTTCATAATAACCTGTCTCTGGAGAAATGGAATACATAATAATTAGACTAATTCTCCCTGCTTTATCTATTATCTGAATTTGGGAAAAGGAGTATGGTGAGCTGCTCTGAGGCAACACTTTACCTCAGTCACCAATAATCTTTTCCTAAATTATAAAGCTGTTCTTTATTATGCTGGATTCAAACTCTGCTTTTGTAAAGCCAACTCCTTCCCCAACCAACTTCTGACCTCACAAATATCATAAATTTTATGCAGGTGCGATGTTTCTCAATGTTCACTTCATAGGATAGTAATAGGTGTCACAAGCAGAAGAAAAAAAGAGGTACTTGGTGAATTAAGTTTGAGAAGTGCTGCTCGATAACATTACAAAATGAACAATTCTGATTTCCCTTCTTTGTGAAAGCTCAATAGGAAGAGTTATCTTCCCACAAGGATTAACAATATTCTCATACCTAAAGCATTCATCACAGAAATTGTCTATATTCTTCTCAGTCTGCCTGCTTTCCCCCAATTCTCCCTACTCATCAATAATGTTCCTCCTGTTTTTGTTCTTCATTTTGGATTTGCTTGTTTATAGGTAAACAGTCCCTTTTAACTGCTGTAGTCAGAAATGGATATAAAACTCCAGATGCCCTGATGTGATCTGACCAGCATACAAGGGTCTGACAAACTACATGGGACTGTGCTCTGTCTTACAGCATCACTTCCAGTTTTTTGTCTTTCACACATTCACAGGAATACCTACAACACAAATTTAAATAATTTATGAAAATATTGAATAAACATGACCAACTACAGAACGCCTTGCTTTGTTTTAGAGATTCTCCCCAGATTGATGTAAAACTAGTAACAAACATGCTTTTGCTGTATGGCTGCTTCCCAACTACGATTTACCTAGCTTTTAGATGACCTAACCCACATTTCTCAATCTTAACCATAAATTTTAAGAGAACCTATCAAGTGATTTGAAATGATGATAACCCTGCTAAGTGTATGAATCCAGTCAAAAGAGGGAATCAAATTAATTTGCTACAATTTTAGACTGTAGATGCAGCATTGCAAGTCCCATATCCTACTTATTAAGAATCTTATTCTTTCTCCTGCTCATAATTTATGTTTTGTGCCTCCTACGTCCTGCCTTTTCTTTTCTTGGTACTAATGAAATATAAGTGAGGGAACTTGAAATAAATATTTTTTCTGTTAGAATAAGGAAACTGTAAAATATGAAAGAGAAAATGTTCTCTTTTCCTAGAGCAAAAAGAAGAAAAGCAGATAAATTTTAATCACAAAACTATCCTTATAAAACATGTGCTTTTCAGAGATTGCTGCCACATCTTACAAAAGTAATTTTTAACTTCTATATAAAACTCTGAATTAGAAATGATTGACTTACTAAATAACATGTTGTCGAGGTAATACTGACATGCACCTGCTCTCTGAAGGTGTTCTTAAAATTCTTATCGTTTTTCATTAATCTGAAGATCACGACAGGTCTCTTTCCCACATAATACAAAACAAAACCTACAATTCTGTTAGATTTCTTTTTTCCACAGTGCGAAGGTTGTGTCTCAATGAAATAAATGACTGTTCTAGGTAGTATATGTGATTTCATGGTAATTGCTTTCTTATCTAAATACTCAGCCATCCGTTTAAAGAAACAGTAAATCTCACATCTGCTATCTGGCTTGCACAATCTTTACTCCCTCTCCTTTGGTAGAGACAGCTTTATTTTCCATGGACCTCCTCCCAGGTGTCAGACATGGATTATTTGGGATGATCCTAGGAAGAGGACCTTGGAGTGTAGGTGTAGTCAATCATACACTCCAGTCCATACCAGTTGATTTGGTCTGGACACGTGACCCAGGTCAGGCCATTCCTAGACACTGGCACTCAATTCCATGGATTGTGTTGACACTGTCGAGAAAGAAAAGCTCTCCTTCCTGCAGAGAATTAAGCCTAGGACTGTGAGAAGTAAGTCTAGATTTGCTAATGGCCATCTTGCTACCAAAGGTATAAACGAGACTAGGAATGAATCTACCATAGAACAAAACAAAGCAGAAAGATGGGGGTGGTGAGAGGAAGAGATACATTATTTAGGATACTGTTTAAGCCCCTGGATATACAGTAAGCCCACTTTATTTACATACTCATTATACTGTTTTGACCAAGTGAGGTCAAAAAAATTTTAATTCTCACACACGCACATTGCAGCTCCATGGATACAAAGCAGCTCTCGGTCAGTCCTGCATTATCATCAGTTGAGTTTAAGTCATTGTGCATTGCTGTGTTTCCCTGCCCCTAATTTTGTGGAAATGTGCCTCCTACAAAACAAATGATGCCCCCAGAACAAAGTAAAGTTAATGTGCTTGTTTTAAGTGATCAAGTAAAAATTTTACATGCACATATCTTTAATGGAAGTTTGGCAGGCATTATGGGAAAAATGAATGCAGCATCCTCAGTGCTGCACTGAAGGCTGTGCATCCTGAACACGCACAGGGTTTCCTCGACACAGTCTGCTTGGATCCATAGACCCATCAGTACCAGAGGTCTAGTGTACATGTACAGTTATCCAGAATTCTGTCATTAATTCAGATACGCTTCCTTTATAGAGAGCTCAGTCTATTTTTCCTCCTGCTTTGAAAACCTGGGCTCTGATCTAGCTCTGAAAGCTGACACCTTTATGATTTCTCAGTAGAGACAAAGGGTGTGGAGTCCCTTTCCCTGAGCTGCATCTGTGGCTCTGAATCTGTCTTCTTTCCAATCTGGGCTCAATTCTTATTTCTATAAAGTACAAGTTAAAAAACCGTTTCTAAAGTTGTTTCTCCTCTAAAAGTCAATGATTTACGATGCGACACATGAAAGTACTACTCAAATCCTTGCACTCATTTTTAAAACTTGTTTGGGAGACTGACTTAAGAAAATGTTGGAGAATAATCTCTTTTTCCTTCTGTATTAGAGTATAACAAAATTAATTTTCTCACATGGATTACAGAATCCAATTTCATTATTTAGTTCAAATCCACAGAGGAGAAAAAAACTAGTTGTACAGGGAGGAAATGGAACAACTTTTATAATGTAAGTTGTTATAATTTCATTAATATGAAGGTCTATAAAATATAGCTAAGAGGAAAAAAGCAAATTACAAAATCACATTTACATAGAATATTGATGGAAAAGAAACACAAATTACATATCCTGTATTATTTTAAAAAAATCTCTAATTCTTCTTTTTGAATTTTAAGTTTTCACATCTAAATTCAGCCTCTTCTCAATATTAACTAGTCAAAAAAAATCTATTTCTGTGGACATTTGTATGGAAGCGCATAGAAAGGCCCAGAAGGACATATGCCAGCAACAGAAGTTGTTTTTCTGGAGGCAAGGGAGGGAATCAAAGTAGGGTGGTGGCAGGGATGATAGCTGTGTGTGTGATGTTTTTGTTCTTTTTTTATTTATTTATTTACTTTTTGGCAGTACTGGGGTTTGAATTCAGGGCCTGATGTTTCAAAGGTAGACTTCAGGTACTCCATCACTTGAGCCATACCCCTAACTTGGTTCTTATTTTTAAGAGGGCTGTTTTCTGCATTGCTTATGTGATTTTTTTTAAAGGGTATTCTTTAAAAGAAGTTTTATAATCTTTATACTTTTTAAATCATATGCCTATTTTTATTTTTCCATTTACCAACATGTGTTAATCCTCAGTTGTCAGCAGAGTAGAAGCAACCGATAAGTAAATATAAATAAAAATAAATAAACAAACGCATGTTTAGTTTCAAAGTGTTTGCAAAAAATCAGGGTTTCTGAAAGCTAGTATCTGGAAACTACATCTCCTAGATGAAATGATACTTACTTTAGTACTTGGAAAATGCTCATCAACATCTTCCTCCGAACAGACCAAATCCCCCTCCACTACTCTGAATCCATAGGTTGCAAGTCTGTAAGACACTGCCTCATTCCAAATTTTGCTGCTATATGCATGAATGTAGAATATGCGCATAGAGTGGGGAAAAGAGAACCAGGCCTGGATACAGCCCTCCTCTGTCATGCCAAAGCGATGTAGCGCCTCCAACAGTGCTCTCTCTCGCACTTTGAACTCAGGCATCAATGAAAGTGTGCCTTTAGCATCCTCTGAAACGAAGAGCAAACCAGATAGTCAGATACTTTTACTTAAAAGCCTTTTGTGGAGGTCTTTCTTATGTTTTCCAAATGAGAAGCAACCAGAATATGAAGATGCTGTGCAGCAATATAAACTTAGCTACGCTTAAAGCGCTTGCTTGCTTGCTTTAATGAAACTCACTCATTTTGTGGCTTTCCTTGTTTTAAAAAAGAAAACAAAAGCAAGCAAGAAAGTCAACATTAATAATGGCTTGCCAGAATAAAACTATATTAGCCTGCACTTTTCAGAAGACTGTCAAAACAAACAACAAATCTCTAAGGATTAAATACACTGCTGCACTGGTAAAGGCTACAGATATCCAAAGAGCTATCATGGACATATACACAGAATTTTTAGAAGAAAGGATTGAGATCTCAATCTGTCAAGTGTACTATTAGGCTTTGCTAACGGAATGCTTTTTATTTGTTTTTTTATTACCATATTATTGTTGTACTGGGGGTACGCTGTGACATTTACAAAAGTTCTTAAAATATATCATAGTTGAATTCACCCCTTCTATCATTCTCCTTTATCCCCCCAACCACCATTCCTGGAATAGTTTTTACAGGTCTCATTTTTTCCATTTTCATACATGAGTACATAATATTTCTACCATATTCACCCTTTCCTTATATCCTTCCCCCTCCCACTGGTACTAAACCCCAGACAGGATCTGTTTTACCTTCCTGTTCTCTGTTTTTGAAAACAGGCATTTTTGTTTGTTTAAGATAGCTATACAGGGGGTTTCACTGCATATTTCCATGCATATGTGTATTATAAACCAAATTGGTTCATCCCCTCTATTTTTCTCCTTCTTATGATGACTTCAACAGGTTTAAAAATTCTATATTAATTCTTGTATAGAAAATACATCAGCCATATTCACCTTCTTAACATCCTTTTACCCTTCCTCTCCCATTAGTGACCTCCCCTTACTAATACAAGCAATATTATGAAAAGCAGGTTACACTAATGGGAGGTTACTAATGGGATGCTTTTTAAAACAGATTACTGAACTCTACTGCAAAGATGTTTATTCAGGTAGGTCCTATAACTGGCATCTTAATAAACACACTTAAATCAATTTTTCTTTAGGGCATTAAATTAAGAATTCTACCTATAAATCATCACATCAATCTAAAGCTTTCAAAACTAAATCAGGGCTAAGTAGAAACTAGATAAAAAACCTATGCATAAAATATAGAATATCACAAATGAACTTCCATTAAGTTTATGTCTGAATCTCCCCTGGTTGTAATGAGTTATACTATCATTAGTACAGTTTAGAATTTGGAACTCCTCTTACTGTGAACAATTTGGGTCAAGGAAAATTAAGAAACTATTTCTTCCCTCTCCCCTAATCCCCAAGAGTAATTAAGACAGACAAAAGTCCCAGAGATCTGGCAAAAATGAAGTACCTATCAATAAGATGATTCTAAATATAATATATTACAATCTATTTCTTATCACAATTGCATCTCAATGATACCTTCCTGCTGAAATAGAATTTATATTATATACCTCTATGGCTACATATGGATGGGGTAAAGAAACATATATACCAGTCTGAAGAAAATATTTCTTTGCTCTATTTACAGGATCATCCAAGTCTTCTGGTGTAAGAAATAATTTTATGGCCTTCACCTTGAAAAACCAAGCAAATAAACATATGTTAAAGAAAATGTCAAATTACTTTTAAAAAAATGATGCAAATTCTTGGATTCCCTAAACACATAGGCACATAAAAAATGATATCTGATGCTATAATTTCCTCTTAGGCTTTCAAAAATTAGGCAATCAATGTCACATGTAGAAATAAACCTTCTGTACAAATTAACCATATGTGTAGTTTAAAATATTGCAGACTAGAAAAAGTGCTTCCCTCACCATTCACTTCTATAATTTTACTTGCATCATTCTTTTACCTCAGTCAAGATGTGAGCACAATTGTAAAGTAATGACAGAGTTGACCAACACACACAAAAAAATAGGGAATGAGGCAAGCATAGCAGAATGGCAGGTCATTAATTTCATCTGTGTTCTCAGTTCCTTGAATTCTTTGGTCTTAAAAATAAGTGCCAAGCTGGGTTCCGGTGGCTTACACCAGTGATCACAGATACTTGAGAGGCTGAAATCAGGAGGTCTGTGAAGACCAGCTGAGGCAAATAGTTTTCAATAACATACCCAAATGACAATACCAAAATGGACTGAAGGTATGGCTCAAGTTGCTGAATACCTGCTTTGCAGGCACAAAGCCCTAAGTCCAAACCCCATTACCTCTCAAAAAATAAACACAAAATAATTGCCAAAATCTTAATGAAAAAATTGTCACTTTATTATTTTATTTTAAATCCCAAGTAGATTAAAAGATGTTGCTTTTTCAAAATGAGAGGAGGAGGAGAAATGTTGTCTACTCAGTACCTATGTTTTATTACTGTCACCAGCTCACCAGCACTGAAATTTATTTCTAAGTATGTATCTTAGAATATAAAATGATCAACACGATCTGCCACTCAGTCTTCTACTACAGTATTATTGATTCATTGAAACAAATATTCATTAAGAAGCTAATACATGCAAAGAAACAGTAAACATCTTTCACATGCTAGATACTGTTTAAGGGATTAGGGGCTGGATGCTGAGCAAAAGAGACGCAGACTCTGTCCTACTGAAGCCTACTATCTACTGGACAAGATCAAATAGGCAATCATAATGAAGTATATTAAAACTTAAAATGGAAAGTCCAGTAGGATGCAGGATCACAAGATAGGAAAGTTCGTTTTTTTCTTGGTGAGTGGAAGAATGATATTTAAATTGACATACAATAGGGCTGGTGGAGTGGCTTAAGTGGTAAAGCGCCTGCCTAGCAAATGTGAGGCCCTGAGTTCAAACCCCAGTACTGCCAAAAACAAAAAAAAAAATTAAATAGACACACAAAAAAATGTAAAGGTTGGGAAGGAGTGCTTTAAGCAAAGGGAAGAAGATAAGGCTTTCTCACCATAGGAATCAACTTCAAATTGCCCCTAATGATCCCCAGTGCCTGCTACCCATGTCCTGGTGCAGTCCTCTCCCACACTTATCAGGGTTGGTCTATATGACCAGGAGAATACAGCAAAATATGCTACTTATGCAATTAGCTTACAAAAAGGACTATAGTTTTGTTGTCTCTCTCACTTTTGCATTCTTGGAATGCATGTCATGAGTAGTCCCATAGCAAAAGCTAATGTGTCCTGCCAACAGCCATGAGTAAGCATGGAAGTAGATCTCCACTGCACTCAGTCTTCAGGGACTGCAATTTCCTGGGAGACTCTGATCCAGAATCACCCATCCTTCTGCTCTCAGAAATTATTAAATAAATGCTGCTATCCCTAGCCACTAAAATTTGGGATAATTTGTTACACATCCATGATTAATAGCTAATACTCTAGCAACAGTTTCTTAAATTTAGAAGCAGGTAATATGAAGTTTGAAAAAGCTGGGAGGCTAGCCATCTAGCTTATACTTGAATTCTATGAGAAATAGGAAATTGCAGTTCTTCAGAAGAATCCCATTCATTTGGACAATTGTTAGGAAAGTCTTTCTTCCACTAGACTAGAACTTGGACCCTTAAATTTCTATCTGTATAAAACCAGAACAGTAATAGTCCAATCAAACTTTAGAACAATTTTCTCCTATGGGTCTGGCAGTACATTTACTAGGTGCTTCCACAAAAACTACTATTCCGTTTACTTCTCACAAAAATATTCTGTGCTGTACATGTGATTTCACTTTACAGATAAGGAAACCTAGGGTTAGGAAAGTGAATTAACCTCCCTATAGTAACACATACAGCAAATGGTGGAACTGAAGTAGATCATTATCTATATCCTGAAGACCCCAAACAACTTTTCTTCCATATGGCAAAATTTCAAGTATTTTATAAGTTAGTTTCTAAACTCAAGAAATACTGTTCAGTTAAACAGTTCTCATCAACATAGTTTCTAAACCCTTTGTCTTATCAGTTTTATTTCAGTTGCTAAAGTCCATCTTGAAATGTGAAGGCTAGAACTGACTATATATTTACTGATGTGATCTAAATAATCACCTCTCAACCTTATTTCCTAATGTAAGATGATGTTCAATGCACAATGCTTTTCTCAAGTTTGACTCTTCCTTTTTCTTCCACTCAAGAAAACATTAGAATACAAATGAGAGATGTTATTGTATGACTAATCTTGCATTTGTTAAAAAAAATTTTTTATAGTTTTCTAGTTTTACTCCATTACTTGTACACCATTTCAATGAAAAACATATTTGTATATGTAATATACAATTATATGTATGTAAACACATATATGTATACAATCATAAATACTTTTAAGTAGGCAAATGTAACTCCTTATTTCTAACATACATTGTTAGTTTTATTTTCAGCTAGAAAAACTTTCCTACCACCCCCCAGACTTGAGTTAATTCTATCTTTTACATGTTCTTATACTTGATTTATAGATTATGTTGCCCCTAAATCTTATATTCAATTCACTGGAGCAAGCTTGTTCTCTCGCTCCCTTGTTATTACTTAACCTAACTGGGCTTAACTGGGCAGCTATGGGAGATTCAGAAAGAACACAGGATAGATAGGCGGCCAGAAAATGGGATCAGGTGTGTTGGGTGCTCAGGTGGAGACACACAACCCTCATTGCTTCTTTTCTCTATTATTCTCTTCATTTACTCTGCTTCTTTTCTCTATCTTTATTCTTTAAGGCCTTACTCCTTTACAATTCTTTAAAACCTTGCTTCTAAAGTCTTTTAAAAAAAACTTTGCTTTTAAAGTTCTTTTCTGTTCTTTAAAGTCTCTCCTTAGACTCGCTCTGTCCCGTGTTTTCTCTTAGATGCTAAAGAATAGTCTCTTTTAAAGTCTTTGCCCCCAGACTTGCACTGTTCCATGTTTTCTGTAGCTTTTCTTTAGCTTAGCTTTTCTAAAGCCTATGTATAAAGTTCTTGATGTAGACTTTCTATCAACTCCTCTTTGGCAATCCCCCTTTAGCAATTCTCCTTCAGCAATCCTTTTCCCTTCAGCAATCCTTTTCCCTTCAGCAATTCATTTTCTCCCTTCAGCAATCTCCCTCCAGCAAGTTCCCTTCATCCAAAAAGCCTTCCCCCTCAAAAAGCCAAAAGCCAAAAGCAAAAGCCTCAAAGCAAAAGCCCCCAAAGCAAGAAGCCCCAAAGCAAAAAGCCTTGCGTCCCTCTTCAGTGAGTCTTTTATATCCAGTGGTAAACAGTGTGGAGTAGCGGTTCTCAGGGAGGGGCGTGACATTGTAATAGGAAAAACCTGCGTTCCTGCTTCTCAAGAAACCTGCGTTCCTGCTTCTCAAGAAACCTGCATTCCTGCTTCTCTGAACGTAAACAACCTAGGAGAATCAGCTGTTCTGCATTTTCTTCTTCTGTGGCCAGGGGCTGTGCCAATCTTGGCTTATAGATAAACATCTTAGGAAAAACAGTTGAGCTGTATCTCACCTGGCTTATGTGCAGTTCTCATAGGCTTCTCATAATCCACTTTCCACAGTTCACTAAGGACTTAGAAATACTGGTCAATTCTTTGTCAAGCCTCAAGTAACTATTAGACACAGAGACATAATATACAGCTTGTGTTTGGATAACATGATACCAAGATGTAAATATATGGTATCTATGTATACATGTGTGTGTGTGTGTGTGTGTGTGTGTGTGTGTGTGTGTGTGTGTGTGTAAACATGCATTTATATGATAGGGCTAAGAAAGTAAGGGACTGGTTTATATAATAAGTATAAACAACTAAATACATAAATTATATTTTTAAAAATCCTTACCATTTCACTCTTCAGCAAAGCTAATCCAATTTGGTCTGTATGAACTTTCCTTCCCTTCCCAAATCTCTGTGGTCCATAGTAATTCACAAAACCTTTATTCTGTGAATAGAAAATAATCAATAAAGAGTTCATATATATATTATATCAAAAATGTAATCAAATATTTCTCTTCACATTTAACTAAAATTTTTGTAATCAATAATATGAACACAGAGATCAAATAGTCTGAGAAATGCTGTACAGTTAAACACTTGAATGTAGATAGAACACATAATTAAAAGTTAGAACATAAGACCAGTGAAGAATGCTTTAAGAGGATATCAGCTTCCTATCTGCATTCCTAAGGAGATTCCCGGGGTACATGACTTCCAGTGCTAAAGTCAAACAAGTTCTGGGCAAACTGGGATGAGTAGCTCAACCAGTTCCTGCATCTGAAGTTCTTTCTTATTCTGAGGAGACTTCTACTGTCAGGAGATGTTGGGAACATGAAACAGATTTCTTTTCAAACCCCATAAGTATTGACAGCTTTGTATATGTGTTTATCTTTGATTCATCTGGTTCTTAAAGCCCAGGCTAAAAAAATGCCTTGTCTCACTTTGGCAGTATTCTATTCATGAAGCCATGACAGCACTTAGATTCCAGGGGAGACACACAAAATTCTCCTCAATGGAAGTGAATCTTGAGGCCATGCTCTAAAGCTGCCACATTTCTCACAATAAATAGAAAACTAACTTAACTACTGCAAGAAATTGGTCAATGGTTAAATATGTTCTCACAAAGAAAACACCAGGGCCAGTTGCTTCCTGGTGCTTGCCACAGGCTGTGTTCTTACACTGACAGTATAGAAAGAGGAGGCAAAATAAACCTACCTCATATACACCTCAGCCCAGGCCCTGGGTCTGGTCTGTATTGTGAATGGGGAGACATGGGGGGGGGAATATGTGTATATATATGCATATATATATGTATATATACATTTATGAGTCCTTGACACTCACTTTATGAAAGAAGCGTACATATCTTCAACCAAAAATTATTACTGACCACCAACTCAAAGACTACTCAATAAAATATAGTAAGATAGTTTTACCAGCACAGTATAAAAGGAACTGCATTTTTATGCCACTCACAAAAATCAACTACAGATAGATTTACTTCCTGGCTTAAATCTCATAGTTGAATATTTTTAACTATTTCAAGTTTAAATAAAATAACATCAGATAACAGAATAGAATAATTTTATCTCTCTCTCCAAATTACTTATATCCAACTATCAGAGTTATCATTCTCTAAAGAAACCTTCAAAGACTTCTGATTTTCACCACTTCCCCTCCCTTATCATGAGAATTAAAAAGAAGTCAGCTGAAGCAAAGATGATTTCTAATGGGAATTTCATAATAGGTAATTGTATCTTCATAGGGTCTAATGACTGGTAACAAATGTTACCCTAATTCAGAGAAATATCCTTCATTTTTAAAGAGATATCGTTTTAGTAACAATTTTTCAGGGAAAAAGAAGGTAGAATTTTTAGGTAGGTCTGTCATGAAAAAACAATGAAAAGTGTAATATCTATCTATCTATCTATCTATAGATAGATAGATAGATAGATAAACAGAAATAACTATACACAGATTAAAGTGTCCAATTTAAAAGATCTTTAGTTGAAAGATAATTTTCCTGACTGTATTGCATGTACAAGTAGGCTGTTTGTTTGTTTTCCTATTAGAGAGGTAGAAAATTGGATAAAAAGGACTTTGTGGTCAGAAACTTGGATCAGTGCCTCTCAATGTTGGCTGCAGAGTAGTCACTTGGGAATACCAATGCCACTGCTACACCTCAAACATTCTTATTTAATGGGTTTGGAAGTAGAAAAATGACTGCTGAAATATTTTAAAAGCTCCCCAGGATGAGAATTACTAGTCTACACCTGGGGTTGGCAAATGACTACAGCCCATAGGACAAATTTGGCCCAATGAGCTTTCATTGGAACACAGCCTGCTCATTTATCTGTGTATTGTCAATAGCAGCTTCCACACAATGGCAGCTGATGAACTGCAAAGGTAACTACATGCCTACAGAGCCAAAAGATTTATTATTGGCCCTTTACAGGAAATTTTGCTGACCACTCATTTAGATGACCAGACTGAGGGTTATAGTTACACATACATACTTAAATGCCTGCAGATATCACTCAAAAACTTGAGTAATTTTTTTCCTCTAAGGCATATAAAATGTGTATGATTTTTAATTCATATACATGGAAGAAAAAGCAAAATTAGATTAAAAAGAGGAAAAGATTATGTACAATTCTCAAAAGTAATGTAACTACCAAAGACTTTTGAAGAGTATATTGAACAAAATTTCCAAAACAGTAAATTTGCGTTAAAATACTACTCTATAAGGAAGACGCTAAAAAAATCTCTTCTTAGTCAGAGGTTGTTTCCCCCTCCTCTGAGGAACTCCACAGGAGTTTTTAAATTATGTTTACATTAATATAAAATGTATTAAGAACAAAACAGAAAACAAGCCAAATGGCCCTAATTATCACTTTTAAAAGTAACTAAATATTCACATAAAAGGCTACAAAAGAAAAATAAGTTTCCCTTTTGCCTCATTATACAGAAAAGGACTATGAATAGTTTCTCATAATCCTCTACAGTATTTTAAAATCGAGTTTTCTTACCTGAACATTTTCTATAGCCTCCGAAATTCTCTCTCTCAGGTTTGCAAAGTCATTTATTTGATTCTTTAAATTTCTGATGACAATATCAAAGTGATTTCCCTTGAGTTGACCAAGCCTAAGAGAATCACCCACAGGTCGAATATTAAACACATTCATTCTTTTCTTTTCAATTTCTTTTTCAATGTTTTTCAACCTATAAATGACAAATCATGTAGACTCAGTTAAATCTTTTATTTAAAAATTACCTTAATACAAGGTTTTCAATGATAGCTGCCTAGCAATCCCTTTTCTCAAAATACAAATACAACATCTGCCTTTGAATGTTCTAACATCAATATTACTATAACAAATACACATTAAATATTCACTATTAGAGGATTATACTAATAGGGTTGTTCTTAAAACTTAAACATATATTACTACTGCTATTGCTCTACTTACGGAAGCCTTCTGACTTCTTAGTTCAAGTGATAAAACCCTCCCAATAGTTCGGATCTTCCTGTCCTAATTCAGCTCCTTCTTTCTCAGTCTCTCTTCCCCCAACACTATCAAAAAAACCACAATAGCACCAGATAAATTTTGTTTTGAACACTTCCTTACTTGAAACTTTTGTCAGCACTAAATTTGAATTCAGGGCCTCATGTTTACTAGGCAGGCACTCTTCCACATTAGCCATTACCCCAAACCCCTTACTTGAACTTTCAATCCTTTCCTAACATCTAAAGAATAGATTCCAATTTCTGTAGCATGAATTTTAAGATGCTGTAAGAGTCAACGTAAATTTTCCTTTATATCCATATTTTCTGTAGTCCCTATAAATATTGTTTGCTTTATTAGGTACAGTTTAACACCCCTCGAAATAAATCTCTAGATTTTTTACAACAGCTGAGATACTATTAGAACTTGAAGGGCCATTAAAATCCCATACCCATAAGCCAAATCTCTCCTCATAGGAGCTAATAACATTTATTGTTTTGGGTCATTAAAAACTAGATTTTGTCTTAAATGCTTAATATATGAGGTCCTATACTGCACTTCTTGACCACAAAAGCAAAATCATATACCATTTCTGTCTTTTATGTAAGAACTTAGAAGTACTTAGAAGAGTTTACTTGCAAATAGTGAAGAATTACATATCTTACAATTAAGCATGAAATTATACATTATGTCAAATTAGGCTGAATTTTGGCTCACTGATCCAATTTTTAAGTTTATCTTAAGGGAAGTATCTGCAAGGGACACAGTTAAGTACAAGAATATTAATCATAGTATTATTTGCAGTAAAAATTTGGGAATAATTCCTATTTCCAAAAATAGGGAACTGTTGAATTGATCTGTATTAGAGATGATGTTGAAATATTTCACAGCCAATTTTCATATAACAATATTATTTTATTTTAAAAATAAAATACAAACTACACTTGCATGTTATAATAAATGCTTATGTGGAAAATGTCTTGAAAGAAATAGATCAAAGTGTTTATTGGAGTTATTCCTGAGCAGTAGAATTACTAGTGAGTTTTCTTTTCCTAAATCTTCTACAATGAATATATGTTCTTTTATAATGGCAAATCATTATAAGAAATATCTTTAAAACTTAATTTAGCCAAAGAAAGGCTAAACTTGGGGGCAAGGGAAGTTGCCAAAACAATGTATATACATGTAAGTAAACGTAAAAATGATAAAATAAAATTTAAAAGAATAAAAAACCTCAGTGAAAATGTCAGGGGGAAAGAGAATGTGAACATATATATGCTGCATGTGTGTATGGAAATCTCACATCAGACATCATTAATATGTGCAACTAATACATGTTAACAAAAGTTTTGAGAACATGTATGCAATAAATGCTTTGCAATACAAATAAATATATTGTTTATTATTCATAAAAAGGAAAGGTTAAACTTGAGTACTTTACAGTCTATCTAACAAGGATACATTTTATGAGACCATGACGAAAAGGCATAAAAGTATCATAATTAGAAATGATTTAAAATACACATGACAAGCAGTGAGCACATACAGGAGATATGGGAATAAGTAGAAAACCCAAAACATGAAAGCGTTTGATGTCCCCACTCCAGAGGAACTAATACAGAAACCTTAAAGTGACAGAAGTTAACATGAGAAGGGGATCAGGAACCAGTGTAAAGATCAGTTAGAGAAGAATCAAACTGGGTTGTAACGCATTTGTACATGCAAGCAATGCTAGAAATCTTTCTGCATAGCTATCCTTATCTCAACTAGCAAAAATGCTTTGTCTTCCTTATTATGTTTATGTCTTCTTGTCAACAAAATTAGAGATAAGAGCAGAACAGCTTCTGCCTGGAAGTGATGGGGGAGGGAGGAAGAGGGGGAGGAGGGTATGGGGGGGAGGAGAAATGACCCAAACAATGTAAAAACATGTGAGTAAATGAATAAAAAAATACACATTCCAGAGTATAAATCATATAGTACAGGATATTTAGAAAAAATTTTAACAATTTAAAAATCTGCTACTTGTTTCTATCTTAAAACTTCCTATATTTTCCATATAAATTTAAGACATAAATTTACATATGTGGAAATTGCTGCTTGGTCTATAATCAATTAATTGATATTGACAGAGAGATTAATGTATTCTCAATGTTATTCTGGGTTTTTAATATTTATTTATTTGATCCAATATGAAAGTAAAGTTCTATGTCTTTTTCATCTTTTTTTTTGGCAGTATTGGGATTTGAACTCAGGGCTTGAAAAGTTCTACCTCTTAAAGCAACACCTTATTACCTCTCTGGAGTCACTTTTCTAACAACCATTGCTTGATAGGTGATGGCTTTCTTGTCTTTAAGACCTGCATAGCTAAAATCCGAAGGAATAACACCAAGTTTGATAGCTAAACACCCAACTGCTTCAGACATCTCCAGGTTTTCCTTTCGTAGGGTAAAAGCTGAAACAAAAATAATCCTAGATTACAACAAAAACAGCTGCCACACATCAATTTCATTCTTAGCAGACTAACAGATTATGATAATGAAGCAAATCTTTAATTTAAATAGTATTTCTAATCAAAATACAAAGTCAGCATCATAAATTTCAGCTGTAATTTTTATTTTTTATTGTTGTGCTGGGTGGGGATACATTGTAGCATTTACAGAAGTTCTTACAATATACCAAATATATCATACCTGAATTCACCTCCTCCACCATTTTCCTTTATTCCCCTCTACCCCTATTCCTGGAAGTAGTTTCAACAGATATCATTTTTCCATTTACACACACGTGTACACAGTATTTGCTATATTTACCCTCCCACACCCTTTCCCCTTCTCTCCCCAACCCCCACTGGTACCAACCTCACCTCAGGCAGGACCTGTTGTGCTCTCCTGTTCTCCAATTTTGTAAAAGAAAAAAATTACATTTTTGTTTGTTTAAGATGGCTACACAGGGAGTTTCATTGTGACACTTACATGTATACATGTATTATAGTCCAAATTGGTTCATCTCTTTTTCTTCTTTCTACCTTAGTCCCTTTCTTATTTTGGCTTCAACCGTTTTTAAAACTCTATTCATTCTTATATAGAGAGTACACCAAACATATTCACCTTCTTAAATTCCTTCTTTTACCTTCCCCCTCTTGTATATGACCTCCCCTAGTGTGACCTGCTTTTCATAATATTTCAACTATAATTTTAAAAATGCTAGGTGGCTCATTAAAAGCCTTTTAAATCGGTTCAAATCTACCTTTCCAGTCTCCATGTGCACCGCTCCCACTCATATACCTATAATTCTGAGACAGAGAACTTCTTGTTATCCTGGATGAACTCAAGGCTCCCACAATTTTGGTTTTTTTTTTTTTTGCACATTTAAGCCCCTCTGTTTAAATCAGGGTCCCTGCCATTAATTATATGTCATAGTACTCATTCTTCAGGATCCAATAACAGCTGCAGTTCTCTCTTATGTTTCAGAATCCAAAGCAAGGACTATGCTTATTTTATAGAATACTATATTCTCATCCTAGAATCCCTCTGGCTGGCAGTTCCTGGCCAGCAGCAACCCAATATTTAAATATTGTGCAAAAAGAATATTCATTGTAGGGGATTAATAACTAGGCTTCAGAGTGTCATTTGTCCCTGATAATCTTGCAGATGAATTCAGTATAAATATTTCAGCTAATCAAATCCATGACATTGTTGTCAATCAATCTGTATCTATACAGAAGTTTATGTACTTGAATGTTTAAGAGAATGAGACTTATAGATCCAGTTAAAAATATTTAATTGATTTAAATTTATCTTTCTACATTGAATCTTATTGAAGTTAGTAAGTAATATGGGAACATTTATAAAAACTTAAAGTCCACTAAATTTATATGCTTTATTTATAAGATGCATAATATTTTCTTAATTATTTGGAATAACTGAAGTATTACCAAAAAAATCATTGATACTAAATTTTAAAAATCAAATTTTAGAGACTGCCGCTTCAAGTCATGTTGGAATAATTGCACCAGGTGACCTCCCACTATAACCAAACAGAACACTGGATAAAACATATGAAACAGCTGTTTTTACAGAGTGGAGAACAGGGCCCATAGAACTGGATCCAAAAGAAAAAGAAATGTGAGTCCGGTTTTCTGCCTTGAAGTATTTTTTGGACTATAGTATGGCAAGAAAGAATCCAGACAGAGGACAGTTGCCGTGCTGCATTAAGAGGTTGACACTGGAGTTCAGGAAGGTTGAGTGGGCTGAAATTCACTGGACCAAATGAGAAGAATTTCCAAAAATCTGCATGGTTGGTAGTTTGAGTTTGTTGCTAAGTAGTAATTTGTACATATCTAGCATTAAATTTCTATGTCTTACTTCTGTACTGTTGCATAATGGGTAACCTCAAGCCTTAGTGGCTTATAATATTCATCTATCTCTCATGGTTTCAGTGGGTCAAGAATTCAAAAGCACCTTGTTTGGTAGATTTAACTCAGGCTCTCATGAGATTACAGTTACATGGGGCTACAGTTTTTTAAAAGCCTAGAAGGAACTAGAAAACTCATTTCCAAAAGGACGTATTTGCATGGTGGGCAAGTTGATTTAGGCTGTTGGTGGAGGCCTCAAGTCCTCCGTACAGAAGTCGGTTTCCCCAAGAGTGAGCAATACAAGAAAAATAGATGGAAAATACAGTATTTTTTACTACCTGGCCTCATCACACACCATAACTTCTGCCAACGTGTGTGCACAACAGGAGGACAGGCTCACTGACAGGCTTTAGAATGTTGAAAATCACAATCCATTCTCTGGATCTCATATTTAATGTCTCACCCCCTTTCAAAATATGCTCATTCCTTACCAAGGCCCCAAAGACCATTCCATTAAGGCATCAGCTCAAATTTTAGGTTCATATATGAATGAGGCTCATGAGGTATATTTTCTTGAATTCAGATCCTTAACTACAATTTATTTTAATATGAAGCTTATGAAGGACTATAAAATAAGCATTTCAAAATAAATATTATTGAATACCACAAAATGTAGGGACACACATGGGACAAGCACTGTAGATGCCTTGATCACATGAGAAATATCTAGAAATCGATGGTCCATAGTAATTCTGAATTTATACAGGTATTGCTGTTGTTCCTTTATTAGAACTTAGTACTATCAATATCTGGGAATTTATTGTGGCATTTGGGTCTACCTTTGGGTTTTAGTTCTCTGAATAAAGGATCTTCTTCCATAAAAGATATCTTATTTGTAGTAGTTTTCAAAGACTAATTCCTGCCTTTATAAGTTTGGGAGTCCAAAGACCTCTTTTTATTTTGTACTGTCTTTGATGGTTTAGAGCACTATGTGGGTCTTCTTTGGATTGACTCTCTAAGACAAAAGATATACTCAAGAAAAGACCTTTTCTACTTTGGGCTGAGACTGCAGAGGGAAATTGCCCCTAAAAATCCTAGAACTACTGTTTAACACAGGAGATAGGTAAGCACTTAGAAAGCTTTTTATCTATCTAAACCATACTGAGGCACTTTTATAGAAATTTCTGAAATTCTGACCAAGGATTTTATAACTACATCTTAGATTTCCTTGTTAGAATATGTCGATCTTGCCATGGATTGTCTCTTTGCATGAAAGCCACCTTTAAATTTAAACACCATGTGTCATTTGGAGAGGCTAGAAATGTGTGTGTGTGTGTGTGATTGGTGGAAAGCAGAGGAGGGGGAAAGGAGGGAGAAAGAGAGAGAGAGGAATGAATATATAGAGAGAAAACATAGAAAGTTCTGGCTCTTTTATATCTAACAGTTTTCCTTCAGAATTATAAACAGTTAAAAGGCAGGTTGCCTGCCTACAGATCCCCAGGAAATTGGCAGTTTTAGGTTTTTGTTACAGCCGCAATCCATTTCTGGTACCAAAAACTCTGTTAGTTACAAAAGCTACATAAGAAGTCAATCCAAATCTTATGACATTAAAAATGTAACAATCATTTACTATCTGTTACGGACTGAACAGGGGGAGGTGGGTGTTGCCTCAGAATTCATGTTAAACCCCTAATCCCCAGTGTGGCCAATTTGGAAATGGGGCCTTAAAGGAAGTAATTAAGGTTAAATGAGGTCATGAGGGTAGGCCCTTGTAAGACACATCAGAGAGCACTCCTCTCTCCCCAACCTCTTTCTTTTCCCACAAGCACACAAAGAAGAGGGCGCATGAGAGAGAAGGTGGTCATCTGCAACCCAAGAAGAGACAGTAACCTTGCTAGTACCTTGAGCTTGGGCTTCTAGTCTTCAGAACTGTGAGAATATAAATTTCTGTCATTTAAGCCACCCACTCTGGTATTGGCAGCCCAAGCAGACTAACACACTAAGCTACCGTTTCTGGGTCAGGAATTCAAGAGTTAGGCAGTTCTGGCTTGAGATCTACTGCAAAGTTACAGTCGAACATTGGCTGAAAACTGAAGAATCTACTTGCAAGGTGGCTCCTTTACACTGGTGGCTATTAATGGGAAACCTGTTTTCTCCCACAGGGCTTCTCAAGTGTTTTCAATGTGTGGTGGGTTCTTTCCATCAGAGTAATGCGAGATGATGACCTAGCCTCAAAAGTCACTCATTGTCAAGTCTGCCATACTTTACTGATCAAAAGGATAGCCTTGATTCATTGTGGGCAGATAAAACACAAAGGCATGAATGCCAGGAGCCAAGGGTCATTGGAAAGTGATATGGTTTGAATATGAGATGTCCTCCACAGACCCATATGTTGAATGCTTTGTCCATAGGCAGTTGGTCTTTTAGGAGGTTGTGCAAACTTTAGGAGGTAGGGTTTACCTGGAGGAAGTAGGTCACTGGGGTCATGCCTCTGAACCTGGTCTTCAGTCCCTTCCTCAAGCTCTGCTTCATGTCCACCATGAGGTGAGAAGGCGCTGCCACTTGCTCCCACTGCCATGATGTTCTGCCTCCCCAGGGGCCCAAAATCAATGGAGCCAAGGACTATAGACTGAAATCTCTAAAACCGTGAGCCAAAATAAATAATTCTTCCCTTTAAGTTGTTTACTCAGGTACCTAGTCACAGCAATGTGAAAGTAACTTATATAGGGTCATCGGGATACTGGCTACTACACTTTACCAGGCTGGACAAGTACCAAGTTCTTATAACTGATAAGAGGCTATATAGGGCTAGAGAACAGCCAGAGAGGAGAGATCTAATTAAACAGCAAGGGCGTACAGTACAGAATCCAAAAGGATCATGCTATAGTAACAGAACTATATAATGGCCATAGAGTAAGGCTTGCTCTAAACTTCCCTTAATAAAATTTAAAATGAAGCCTCAAGTAGATTTACAAATCACTTTCTACTTGATAAAACAAAGTTCAACGTTCTTTAAACAAAGACAACACAAACCAGATACTCAACAAGGCAACATTCACAACTGGCCTCCAAAAAAAGATTACTAGACACTTAAAAAAGCAGAAAAATGTGACCCAAAACCCAAATAAGCTCAGTCAATATACACTGTCAGGAAATGAGAGGTGGAGTTAGCAGACATATATTTTTAAAGACCTATTAAAAACAGACTTAAAGAGGGGCCAGGCATGGTGGTACAAACCCATAATCCCAGTTTTTTGGGAGGCAGAGATTGGGAGGATTGTGGTTCATGAGCAGCCCATGCAAAAAGTTAGTGAGACCCCATCTCAACAAATAAGCCAAGCATGATGGCATGCACCTGAAATCCCAGTTATAGAGGGCATAGGCAGAAGGATGCTGGGTCAATGACTGCACCATGCAAAAACTCAAGACCCTATCCAAAACCTAACCAAAGCAAAAAAAGGGCTAGTAGTGTGGCTCAAGAGCTACAGTGCATGCATAGCAAGGACAAGACCCTGAGCTCAAATCCTAGTACTCCCACCTAAAAAAGACTCAAAGACTAAAGGAAAGCATGGACATAATAAGCAAAGAAATTTAACACCTAATGAAAAACAAAGGAACCTTCTAGAGTTTCGAAGGACAATATCTAAAATGAAAATGTCACTGGATGCTTAAATTGCTTCTTTGAACTCCTTCATCAAAACAATGTTCTAAGAAAATGGTAGAGTAGGTCCTCAAAAAATTGAATTCATAATCTAGCAATTCTACTTCTGAATATATACCCAAAAGAACTGCAAACAGGGAGTTTAATATTTACTCACCTGTGTTCATAGCATCATTATTCACAATAGTCAAAACGTGGAAGCCACCCATATTCACTGGCAAGTGAATGAATAAATAAAATGTGGTATACACAAACAGTGGAATATTATTCAGCCTTAAAAGGAAATTCTAATACATGCTACAACATGAATGAACTTTGAAGACATTAAGCTTATTTCAGTTAGCTTAATTTGTCCTTCACAAAAGGACAAATACTGTCCAAGTCCACTTATTTGAGTACCTATAGTTGTCAAATTCATAAAGACAGAAAATAAAATGGTTTGCCAAGACCTGAAAAGGAGGGACTATTTAATTGGTATGAGTTTCACGACTAGGAAGATGATAAAACTCCAGAAATGAATGGTGATTATGGTTGTACAACAATGTGAACATCCTTAATGACGTTCAATTGTATACTTAAAATGGGTAGGATGTTAAATTTTATGTTATTAGGTATATTTTACTAAATTTTTTATTTTACAGGTCTTTTTTTTTTTTTACAAAAAAAATAGATCTACTTATTGAACATTTTAACATGAGCTCTTTTGATACTTACAAAAGGTTATCTAAACAAAATTTGGGATAGGCAAAATTTATCTTTTGTCTTTTTCTTTGTTCCTAAGCTTGAAGGTATCCCAATCTCTTCATACAGTCCTCTGGTAAACCATCTACTTTTCCTTTTCACATATCCCTCAAAACAGTCATAGCTTCAGCAAACTAATTTAAACTATATTAAAAACTTTCTATATGTTTGACTTATTAATCAAATTATTATTAGAATTTCCAGCAGCATTAAAACTAAGAATTCCTAGAGCTGCTTAAATCACTTCTCAGCAATTCCTCTCCCTTCACATAAAGCTAATTCTGTATATAGTTCAAAATAAATTTACCTGCTAATGTTTGTAGCTTGCTTCATATGTTAAGTTCTATATTAGCAGCTTTTTCTTGAAAAAGGCAAGTCACTCAACTAGACAGAAATTGCCAAGAAGAAAAAAGATGCTAACATTTAAGAAACTATTACATACTGAACAATTTCATTAAATCCTTTGAATATTATTGTAAGTAAAACTTTCACACTATCCCATTTTTAAAGTATATTACACTGGTGTTTGTGGCACATATCTGCAATCTTGATACTCAGGGGGTGGAGGCAGGAGGATTGCGAGTTCAAAGCCAGCCAGCCCAGGCAAAGTTAATGAGACCCTAAGTCAAAAAGCAAAATAAAAACGAAAGGGCTGCATACATATCTCATGAAATAGAGGAGCACTTCAAGCATGAAGCAGTGAGTTCAATCCCTAGTACCACAAAAATAAAGTACATCCAAAAGAACTGTTAATTAAATCACCCGTAGTATTACTCTTCCCATTTTTACATTTATGGAAGTCTTAATGATATTAAAAATTCTATAAGCTGGTCTGGTAATGTAAGCCTGTATTCCAGTACTCAGAAAGGAAAGGTCCAATCCACCCTGAGGTATAAAATAGACCCTGTCTCAAAAAAGTAATGACTGGGGATGTAGCTCGGTGGTAGAGAGATTGCCCAGCATGTAAAAGGCCCTGGGTTCAATCCCTCCTACACACACACACAAATTCCCTAAATCCCTTTGTGAATCAGTCATGTAAAATCAAACTCGCATAATTCCAAGATCCAAGCTCTGTTTATTTACACCAGAATCCCTACATAACCCAATCCTATTTCTGTCCCACATGCATCTGCACAAATTTGAGCTGCTGGTTTTCATAAATAATTTGCTAAATAAATTAGCAAAACATGACCACATGAAATACTTTTCATTCTTCAAGTAGGATATAAACTAATTATATCTATACTACTTTTGTAGGACTTATACAGCAAGATTTCAACAGTTCCATCCATCCTAGGTATTACATATATCTCCTAAAACAGGAATTCTCAAATGTGCTCCCCAAATCAGCAAAAAAAGCATCATCTGGGCAGTTGTGAAAGTTCCACCCCAACCCTTCTGAATAAAAACTTGGGAACAGAACTCAATAGTTTAACAAGTACTTTGGGTGATGATAATGCATACTAAAATATAAGCATCCTAAAGCCTAATATACTTAAGACAAGTGTCTTAGATAAGAGAAGACTGACAGTGCCAAATTTCCAGTTTCCCTACCTTGGGTAAGGAAATTTATTCATTTTGGATTATAGGGTATTCCTTTACTTTTCCAAATACAGCAAAATATTCTTATTCCCAAAGATTAATGTTAAGATGATTTTTGAAATATGAAATCAAGCTTTCCCATTAGTAAAACTTATTAAACACAAAACCACTGCTCCAGCTTTATACATTTGTTACTATATTAACTATGAATGTCTTTGTTATCCACATTTTCATTAGTACAGTTAATTTCTATATTTAGAGTAATATGAAAGGCTTCATCTTTCCTTAAGTAACAGATCCACATATTCTCTACAATATCTCTCTACCGAATCTACAAGTCGTTTAAATTATTGATCTTTGACACAATTTTAAATTTATCTAAGAAAATGGTAAGGATTTATTGAATTACCTGTATATACAACTTTTCTTTCCTGGCATTCAGGAAGGGGCCTTTTTCCACGCTTGTGTGCTTTCTCCCGAAATCTTACTGTTACCACTATGTTTGGATTACCAGCATTGTGATTCTGTTCAGGAAAAGATTTGGTTTCCACCAGGTTTCCAAACTTCTTGTTGACAAAATGATGGACAGCTTTCCTGTGGTCTTTATTTGTATCAGGTTTAAATGCAAATTTTGAATTTTCTTTCTTTGCATCCAAATATTTAAAAAAGTCAAATGCTTCTTCTTCAGATACCAAATGACATAGTTCTTTAAACTCGAGATTTGGTTTTACAACAATTTCACTGTTTTTTCCCACAGTTATCAAAAAAGGAAATTTCTGCCTAATAGCACTATGTAAAATAGCCCTTTGGTTTTTGTCAAGGATTTTGCCTAATGAGAGTTCAGGAGATGGCTCAATTAGCTCATTTTTTGATTTCCACTTCTCTTTTATATCACAGGCAAATCGATTCAGTAATTCATTTGTTTTTTCATCTAAAAAAGAGCTTAATAAATCACTTTTTTCTTCTTCACAATTGGAAGTCCTGTCATTGATAGGGCCTTCTTTTTCTGAATCAGACTGATGATGTTGGTCACCATTGTAGCACCTAGTCAAAGTATTAACTTCTTGATTACTTCCATCTTCAGAAGATAAATTATGAAGATCTAGTTTGGGCTTTTTGGCAAAATTATTTGGCTCAGGTAGTACTTTACTAATCTCATACACAGGTTCATCAATAGCCCTATTAACTAACTGACCCTGTTCATTAATCTCAATAACAATAAAGTCATTTGCTGAGCTTTTTATAGTACCCTGAAATCCAACATGATCATTAATGAAACACAAGGAACTAAACCTGTTTCTATAATCTGTATCTTCTTCCATTCTTAAGTAATAAGGCCTACAAAAGAAACAAAGCAGTCAGCTACGAGAAAAAGTTGTGGATAACAAAAAAGGAACTGGTCTGCAAGATTTACTTAGTTCTGTCCCCCTTTCAATTGTGAGTCTCTTAAATGGCATTCATGACTTATTTGATGGCTACATAAAAAGTGCACTTTGATCCTCTCATAAGCTAAATTAATAGGCAAACTACTTTTGGTATAACTAATGATTTGTACCTTGATTCTTCCCTTACTTCAGGCTTCTGTCTACAATCCAGGATTAAAATAGGTCAATTTCAAGTTTACCTTAAAAGTAGTATTTGTAGGGCCACAAAGAAAAGTCAAGAACATAGCTCTATGATGGATGGCAATGGCTCATGCCTATAATCCTAG